GAGATATACAGTAAATAACTGTAGAAATTACAGAAATGTCTAACAGTGTAGGCCATCATAGTTAGGTCAGCTGGAGTTCCCCTTTTCCACTACAGGAGATCCCTGTCATCTGCTCTGCTTTGATCTAAATGGCGAAGAAATGTCTTAAGTTCTCATTTCCTCTCCTCTGTCTGGGGAAATGCGTTTGAGGGTCAGTCCTTGACAGCCCAACCATATTATGCACCTCAAGCCATCTGTTTGAGCTCGGTTCACAGCTGATCCTCTTCAAACTGGCGCTCATTACCGCCACTCTCTCAGACCCCAAACCTCCAGACTAACCTGAGATCTTGTGCCAAATATTTAACCATGACCCATGTGGCCCAACAAAGCTATTCTTCAAGTTTACAAGAACAACTACCATTTCTAAGACTAGGCCGGCCAGAGCTGGGAGTAACTGATTACATGTAATCTGGATTACGTAATCAGATTCCAAAAATGTAGTACTTGTAATTAGATTAAAATTATAATTTTAAATTATAACATGAAATTACATTTTAAAATACTCATAACCAGACTAGTTACTTTATTACATGATTACAGTACATATTATTCACACAATAGCAATACACGCTTCTCCCTAATTCCTCTTTTTCATCTTTTAAGTGTTCCTTTCTGAAATAGCTTGCCGCTTCAGGAAGTCTTCAATTTCACACAGAGATCAGTCACAGCATTTGACCACTGGATTTATAAAAATCATTTCAGGTTTAAAAAGTGCTTCAACATTGCATCAACTACTGATGAACACTAATTCTTTTTTTTTTATTCGAATTATCACTCGATTAGTTATTTAGCAATGTATTATATGTTATTGGAAGTCTTTTGTCTTTCAAACACATAAAAACGCATGTTGTGTAATGTTATGGATTACATTACTAACTACAATTTTTGTCATGTAATTTGGAATCGGTAACAGACTATGACTCGTAAGTAATCTGGCCAGCTCTGAGCATGCATCTGTTCTCTGCGCACACGTTTCTTCCTTTATCAGTCAGTGGGAGGTTATTTGGCCTGCCACTGATTCTACTGAACAACTGCACCTGCAATTCATGATATGCATGAAGCATTTTTTGTTTTTATTTATAGATTGTTGACACAATTGTTATACAATCTTAATTCAAAATGTATCCCAATATCAGAAACAGCAGAGTGATACAGGGTAAACAGTGTGCTTGAAACGAAAGGCAAGGGGAACAACTGAGGAACGATTTTGAGATTCTTGAAGTGTTTTCAGTTTACTCAAGAAATAAGGAATAATTTACACCAAAACATCTCTTTCAACAACACCAACAATTTAGGAAGTTTTTCCAAATAATGCAGCATTTACAATTCAAGGACAAACCTGGCATTATTTCAGTACAAAGACCTGCAGAGATATGAAACAGAGTAATTTGATCATTGCTTATTCACATTCCTCTAATGATTGCAATAAATGTGCAGAGATTGATCACATGATTCACCATTAGATGACCATCATTCTCTGCCACAACTGTTACACGTGCTGCTGTTGTGTCACAGGTTTTGAGTTCACCACTGAAAAAAGAATAGAATCGTTTTATACAAACACTGGAGGACCAGCTTTGGATTGGATTGAGTTTATTACAATAACACAGGCAATTTTTCCTGTTTTTAGCCCATGGAGAACATCTTAGATTTGGTAGTTTTAGACGTTATTCACAATAAACTTTTGAGCTTTCTGATTAAAGAGAAAAACACTGAAATACTGACAAGACTGGTTTACTTGAGACCTAAACAATTCTAATTTAAAGTACATGCTTGTGACAATTTTATAAATCATAAACAAACAAAAAAAAAAAGATAAACAACTTTATTATTAGGACAGACTAAATTGTTTAAGACCTAGAAAAGTGCATTTCAAAAAAGAAACGGCACCATTAACAGTCATCTATAACAAATGAAAAGAGGTCAGTGAATATCCAGTGTCTGAACAGAAATTACAATCAAGTTGTAAACATTTCAAACGAAATCAACCCTCTTAAGAGGCAATGTATTAGGCAGACAGCTAACCTTGGCATCAAGTCCTTTAATTATTCACATTACTTCACACACACACAAACCCACATACTGTACACAGATCCACACATACACACACACACTCACTCTCTATGGTTATAGTTTATAAGCAGACAGAAGACAAACTGAAATGATCACAACTAAAACTGAACGATGTGTATACTGCTGCCATTGTGCTATGAATACTGGTGCAAAACCCTTTAGAAAAGCGGTAAGAATGAGGAAGAATCGGATATCAACAGCTGCTGAGACGGTGAGATTTACGATACTGGTGTCCTAAACAGCCTCATTTCACTTGAACTCGAGTTCACAATGTCCTTCCACACCTCTCTCGTCTTAAATGAAGTCCTGTACCACAACAAAACAAGTGAAGATTTCATTTGCAAATACCGATAAACGCCACTTTAAAAAAAAGTGAGCTGATTGCCGTGCATTATTCTCCACATATAGCGCGATCTTAACCCTAAACACGTTTTGTCAAAAAAAGCTGGTTTTGTCCACTTTCAAGGCATCGCGAATTCACATTTTACTTTTTTTTTTAACTCTGAAACCTGAAATATGGAGTTATCTGCTTTTGCCAAAAAACGACTGCTGGAGTTACGTTATCTGCTTTTGCTATAAAACAAACTTTTAATATGTAAAAAAAAAAAAAAACTTTCAATTAGCTTTAATTTAGTAAATTACCTGTATTTGTTTAAATTATTATTACTTAATCAAAACAACCCAACTGCAGTTTGATTGATATTACTTGGAATGTGCAATAAAAAAAACGTGATTTCTAAAAAATAAAAATAATAGTTATCGGTTTTTGCAAATGAACTCTTCAAGTGCACTCCGTAAACTGGACCAACCAGCATCGCATTAAGCCACTTAAAGCTGCAGTCCATAACTTTTTTTGGTTAAAAATGATCCAAAATCAATATTTGAGCAAGTACATAACCAGCCAGTGTTCAAAACTATCGCCTTACTTTAGCCCGATTCACAATGGTCAGCTTATAATAATGTTTTCTAATTTGAGTGGTACGGGTAGGTTTTCGCGGGAAATTCGGAGAAGGGTATAACTGCAGCCTGGAGATCTCCAAATGGGGGCGGGAACTCCAAAACAGGGTGGGAGCTCCAAAATAGGGCGTGGCTTCCTCCCATTGACAGACAGGCACATGACACGCATGCACATTTTTTCCCCCAATACACTTCAGTACAAACTCCGCCCCACAGCTGATTCTAAAGATTTTATTGGTTGTGTCAATTAAAGTGTTGATTTCCTACACTATGCTACAAAAAATGCTAACCCCTAAACCTACCCCACACCTGACCCTAACCTTAACCAGTGAAATTGACTGCACGGCGGGATTGGCGCTGAATAGCTGGTAAAGAAAGTTGCAGTTCAGGAGATAAACAGTTGATAAGATTATGCGATATGAGATCGTTCCGTAACTCCCCAACAGGACCTCACCGGACAATGGCACCTTTTTAGTTACACCCAGCGTCACTACCCCCTCCTACCCT